TATTCAATGATGATTATAATAAAGAAGATAATTAAAGAATGAAAAAAGTTAGTGAATAAATAATATAATATAGTGAAAGTTTCTTTATAAGAGTGTATACAGAATGCTAGCTGAATCAGAGATAGACTACACTATTGTGAATACTAGTAGCATGTTAATCTGCATGAAGCTAGAGCATATATTATAATTATATAAGTGTGACTGAATCTGATAAGAGAGAATATAGTTTAGAAGAATGTATAATTATTAAATAATAACACAGCTGCTTCTGAACTTGCTTACAAATGTAAAGAAGTCATAGCTGTTGATAATTACTACACCTACTCTAGTCACGTGCCATCTCAATCTATTTATTTAGTGTAACTCGCGTAGTTAGATTATAACACAACAATGTTATTCTTCAAGAGGTTATAAAACTCTTTATAAGTAATGAATAACTGTAATAACATGCTAAATTGACATCTTCACACATCATTAGAAGCATGCCTAGATGATTTATTAATTAATTGAACTTATGATGAACCTGAGATCAGGTGAAAAGCCTGACTTAATGAAGAATTACATGTCAATGCATAGAAGAAGAAATTCACAAACATCTGAATTATAAGAAGAATTGAGTGTGAGCTTATTAACATCTATAATAAACTGAAAAGTGACTGTCTCAGAGGCATTTAAGCCAGATGAAATCATCACAGAAGAACAGTCTGATGAGTTCAATATATATAAAGACTCAGTTGAAGATATCAGTGAGATGTCAGACAATGCAGAGAGCTCAAGTGACTGAAATAACAATAGCTCAGTGAGTGAGAAGACTTGTATAAGACTTGAAATTGTAAGACTTCAGCATAAGATTGAGTATATAAAGATCAGTAGAAGTGAGACTCTTGTAAGTGATGAGATGAGAGTGAATCTGACAGAATATCTTCAATAAAAAGAGAAGACATCTGTTATAATAAAAGTTCTTGAAGAATTCAGAAGCTAAGTAAGACTTATCAAAAGATTAATAGTTCTTACTAAATTCATTAACTATCTAATGTGAAGAGAGAAAATTCTTTTGACTGCAGAGCAGTCTGAAACTGATGATATTCTTGAAGATAATGATCTTGATGAGAATGTTACTATAAATATGCAATGTTTCTGAAAAGAATGCAATTTTTAATTATACAATTACATATAGTCTGCAATTGTCTCACAGATCAAGACTCATTTCACTATACTTAAGAAGTTCAAATTATCAGCTTATACTCTATAAACTATCATAGAGAATAACTTTTCTGAGAGACCTGCTGTATACAGAACTTATTTATTTAAAGAGCTTATTGAAATAATCTTCAAAAGTAAAGAATCTGACAGAGCTTTTATTGAACAATTAATTGTCATTAGAACTGATTATATTCATCTGAAATATAAGATTAAAGATGTTATGTTTTTCAATAGATTACTGACAGAAGTCAATAGAGATTGAGCATTCTTTATAAAGAATAGAATGAACCAGATTGATAAAAACAATTCAAGATCTTTAAAAGAAGACTTCATGAGATTATATCATGACATACTTTTATAACTTTCTACTGTGGAAAATAGTAGTACTGAATCCATGAAAAATCCTGTGAATAACGCTCAAGACAAGGATAAGAAAGACAATGATAAGAACAAGAATACTGAATTCAAACCTGAACATAGAGGTAATGATGTGAGAACCTGCTATCATTGTCAAAAGATTGATCATATTCAGACTGACTGTTGAAAGAAATACTCTGAGAAACATTCTTTAAATTCAAATTTCAACACCAATAGAAACAAGAATAAAGACAAGAATACAGAGAATACAGATGCTGCTTCTGTTCACAATGTTATGAAGCAAGTATTTTGCATCAAAGAAAAGATCTATATGAGTGATCAGACAGGAAAAGATATCTGAATTCTAGACTCTGAATCAGGCACTCATGTCACACCTCACAGAGATCTTATTGTGACAAAACCTCAGAAGATGAAAGTTATGTTGAAAATAACAGATGAAATAGTAGTCTCTGCTGCAACTATAGAAGATACAAAGATTTCAGTGAAAGAAATGAATATACTGTTAAATGATATCTGCTTTGTCTCAAAGTTAGAAGTGAACCTCATGAGTATGAGTAAGCTTATATATCAGAGTTATATCTATAAGCAGTTAACATATGAAAATAATCATGCTATGTTAATTATGTCTTCTGATCACATGTTCTCATTTACAGCAAGATTAAATGAGAATGATATCTATGAGATGAAAAGACTGATTACATACAGAGACTTGATCTGATTTGCTATGCTTAATAATGATTTTGAATCTGTGAACATATTACAGACAAAAGATGACACAATATTAACACTATCTGACAGAAATGATACAAAGGTTATAGAACTTATGATAATGCAATAATATCAAAAGCTAGAACATCTAAATCTCACAGATATTGCAAAAATGATGATAGATTCATACTTAGAAATGAGAATTATTGATCAACAAGCTTTATCATTCTGCAAAGTCTATGTTCAGATAAAAATGATATATTCAATCTTCATATCTATGACATGAGCTGTTAAACTGATAATGAGATTCTTCATTGATCTGGCAGAAGATGGAAAAACACTTTTCAACAGAAATGACACTTTCACTAGAAGAAGTATAAGCTACTGATTGAGTATAATAGACAGTACAACTCATTATAGATGAGTAATTCTTATAATGAGAAAGAAAGAATCTACTGCAAGATTAATGAACTTTATCACAGATATTAAGATAACTACACAATATTAAGTTAAAATTCTATACTGAGATGATGAAGAAGAGTTCAAAAGTCAAGAACTTAAGATCTACTGTCAGAGTAAAGAAATAATGTATGAAATAACTACATCTGACACATCACAATCAAATGACTCAGTAGAACACATGAATTGAATAGTTGTAGAAAAGATGTGAAGCCTACTATTTAATAGTGAATTAGAAAGAGAACTTTGAGATGAAGTAATACAAGCTGTGATCATGATGATCAATACATCTTCAACATTAATAAAGATATTTGAATGTAAGAAAGAAACATCACTTATATCTTTTAAAGCATGAACTGAGATGCAATCTTCTGTTCATTGAATACAGAGATAGAGGTGCAAGGTCTACAAGAAGAATTTGAAAGTGTCAAATAAGCTTATGAATAGAACTAACATCAAGAAATGACAGCTGATTGAATATCAAGAATTACATCAATATCATGTGTGAGATTCTGTTACACATTGTCTTGAGATTGCATGAGATGTTATATTTGATAAAGCTCTTGACATGAGTGCAAATACATCTGTAAATACAGTGAGAGAATTCAATGAATTGCTTAATGAATTAAACATTCTGAATGTCAGAGAGAGATGACAGCACTGCTTACTATAACACCTAGTGAAGAAAAAGTCAGATGTTTTGAAGATGATTATCAATGAGAACTTAGAGAGTGTAATTGATTCAATCTATCTTCTAGATAATGAGACACAGCTTGTCATGAATGAAGAGTCTGAAGACTCTGTTAATGAGAATGATTCTGTTCTAAGTATTCTAACAGACTGATCAACTACACTGACAGAAGTCAAGAGAAGCTCAGACTGAGACTATTAACATGAGACAATGAAAAAGAAGATTAAGATATTTGAATAGAAGAAGATATATATTATTGTTAAGAAGACTCTGAAAATGAATATTCTTACAGATAAATGAGTATATGATCAGAAATTTAATAATAAGAAAGAAATTATCTACTTTAGAGCTTACTGAGTAATTAGAGAGTTTTTGCAACAGCAGAATATTTATCATATGAGATTGTATGCTGCAGTGGTATCAGAGTCTACATCACACAGTCTATTCACTATATCAACTGTCAAAGAATAGAAGATTAAATCAATTGACTATATATTCATGTGTTTGAATGATATACTATCACACAATGAGATGATCTATATGCAACTGCTCACAGGTGTTAAGTATGATAGAGAGAGCTTGATGAGATTACTTCATTAGAGTCTATATAAAATGAAGCAAGCTGCAAGAATATGATATTTTCTTATAACAGAGTATCTGACTACATTGAAATTCAAGATATCATCTTATGACAGTGAATTTCTATACTATTCTATTTACAAGATCTATCTGACATTGCATGTTAATAATTATCAGATGACAGAATCTCAAGAACAGCAATTAGACTGAATATTAAGAGAGATTGTAAAGAGATTTGAGATAAAGAATGTTGAAGATATCAAGTCATATCTTGAAATAAAGATTAAATATCAGAGAAATGATGATCTAGTGATTACACAGAGCTGTTATATTGAGAAGATTCTTGAAGATTTCAGTATAAATAAGATAAATTCAGCTGATACTCTGATGACAGTGTATATAACTGAAATTCTTATCTGATGAGAGAGAGAGATTGAATAATGACTTTACAGCTATGAGATATTATCAAGAATTAAGATCATTGCAATATTTGATCTCAAGCAGTCAGTCAGACCTGATGTTCATAATTAACTATCTCTCACACTTTAACTCACATCTGTATAAGACATGTTGAGCAATGTTGAAGCATGTTCTACATTATGTCAAGAAGATGAAAAATCATGACATATTATACAGAAAGAAGATCAGTGATATAAGTCTGAGTTCTGTGATATACTGCAATTCAGACTGAGCAGAGGCAGATCCTTAATACAAATTGACTAAATTGACTACTGACTATGTTATATTGATTAATGAGTCACTGATCTCATGACAGTTACAGAGACAGACATCTATTATCAAATCAATCACAGAAGCTGAATATATTGCAGCTAGTGAGACAGCTTGTAAGATAATCTGATTGAATGATATGTTATATGATGCTGAATTGATGAATAATGAAAAAGTGAAAATATGCTTGCATCTATGAGTTGATAATAAGGGAGCAATTGATCTAGCAAAGGAGAAATTCTTAACATGAAGATCACATTATCACACTACAAAGTGAACAGCGCTCCACCACGAACTCGCTCAATTTTTCGAATAAGAACCCGCCGATAGATCCATCGAAAAGCCCTCGATCATACGAGCATTTTGACCCCATCGCCGACTGCATACCCCGTGTGGTGGTGGAGTTATCCAGCCAAATGTGAACCAGACGTTGTTCGAAACTCCTGTGTGGGATTATCCCCCGTTCACCCCTACCACACCACAACCCTGGGCCAAATTGCCATACAAATTGTAAGGCGAAGAGACCTAACCATATGCGCCAATCTTCTCGATTTTGGAAGATCCCTGACCTGTAATTGTGGAGATATCTGAGAAGCATCTTCCACGAAAACCCTGTCTATCTTTGATGTTCCAAAACATCAACGCCAAGTCCCACCCACGTACCGCCCTTCCCAATCTGGCCCACCTCCGGCAGAAAAATACAAAAAGATACCTCAGCAATAGTATCAAGCACATAGTCAACAGACACATCTGAAGTGCATCCTCCGCGAAAAACCCTCTCTGTCTTTGGTGTACCAAGACATCAACACCAAGTCCCACCCTTGTACTGCCCCTCCTGATCTGGCCCATCCCCAGCAGAAAAATACAAAGAGATACCTCAGCAACTGTACTTGATACATAATCAGCAGACATGACAACTATAAAATCAGTATATCTCAAGGTCTGACTGAGCCTTTGATCCCTGCACAGTGAGATATATTAAATCTAGTTTTAATATCTCAATATTCAATAGATTCTGCAAGGAATTGAGAACAGCAACACTAGATTTCTATTGAATTTGAGAATTAACTCTTTATTGATATAATCATTGACAAAGTCTTCTATTTTAAGATATAAATAACCAGTTCCTCTACATTCTGCTGACAATATTTACATTATTATATAGAAACAGACTTATATTCTCTATAATATCAAGACTCTGAAGAGAGAAAGTCTTAGTAGAGAGTATACAGTAGTGCATATCTTAGCAGTTTTTATCTCATTCTTCTGCAGTAGTTAATGCAAAAAAAAGATCTTAGAAATAGTTTTTTACTTCTCTTGAAAAAGTAAGATGTTTTTCTCTGAGTTTTATACAATATTCTTACAAAGAATTAAAAACAGAGTTATTTTCTGTTATAATTTCATATTCTTTTGAGTAAGAATTACTTTTTCAGTGACTGAAGAGCTTTCATTAATACTTAATTCTTTTTTACACTCTTTATTAACTGATTTGAGTTGCACACTTGTTATGTGAGAAGAATTGAATGATTTAGAATAAAATTGAATAGTTTTAATCAATTTCTCTGCAAGAAATTGATTTATTTTGTGATTCAAAGATTGCTTGAGCCAGCGTACAATTACAGGCGTACGCCGGCTTCTTATATATCATAATATCGTACACTAAATTAATTAGTGGCTGCTATGGCCCCTTTACACTGTAAGCAAGTTTGAAAGCAGCTGTGTTATTATTCAACAGTTGTATGTTCTTTCAAATCACATTCTCTCTCATCAGATTCAGTCATGCTTATATAAGTATAACATTCACTCTAGCTTCATGCAGATCAGCATGTCACTAGTGTTTATAATCTTATAATCTATCTCTGATTCAGCTACTATTCTGTGTACACTCTCATAAAGAAACTTTCACTATATTACACTTCTTATTTACTAACTTTTCTCATTCTTCAATCATCTTCTTCATTATTATCATTATCAAATGTTATCATTATTTCATCTCAGATTACTGTCTCATCTTCTGTTTAACACCTTCTATCTATTTATCTATCACATTATACATGTTTCTGATGATGGCTTCTTGTTCTCATAACAAGCATCATCATAGTACTCATACTGAGCAGTTTGTTAGCAGTAAGTGTAACATATTATGAAATGTATATAATCAGAACTTGTTTATCTTCTAATAATTATCAGAATATATTATCATGAATGACACATCTTCTTCATTTTCTTATACACTCTCAACTGTTTTTCTTCTTAGTGAGTTTCTGATCATGTTTTCTAACATGATTTTGCATGAATGCAGATGCTGATTTATTTGTTTTTATTTATATAGAATCTTCACACATTGACAGGTTCATATCTGCTGATAATAGTGAATTCAATATTGAATCATTAATCAAGAACTTGAAAAACATGATAATGAAGAAATTGTCTGTGTTATATATAACTGAGTCTTCTACATTCTCTTCTACTCTCTCTGTTTCTTTCTCTGATGCTTTCTCTCAATCTTCTACATCTGTCTCTGTGTCTGATTCTCCCGCTTCTGCTACCTCTGTTCCTGTAATCTTTACTTCTGCTACTTCTGATTTTACTGTCTCTGCTGTCATTATCAGCTCTCCTCATTTTAAGAAGATATTATATAGACTTAATGAATTATATTTCTCAGTGTATACACTTCTGTTCTTCTTACTGACTCTCAGAATGATTTATTATACAAAGACTGTATATAATATAACTATCTAAAGCTCAGTCACAGACACTGATTATTATATTCATTTTAAATATTTATAATGAAATAATTATTCATTCATATCAGAGAATCACTCTCTTCTTTAACAGTGTTAAGATTGTAAGTCTTTTTCTTTTTCATCTTTTCTTTCTGATGCTGATTTTTCTATTCTTAGAAAAAATTATTATAAGTTTTACTGTGTATGAAGTTATAATGTTCACAGATATCAAGAAGCTTTTTATAACTGTAAAGTTCAATATCACAGAAATATTCATTCTGATAAATTTCTTCAGAATGATAGATCTGTATCAGTCTATTCTCTGATATCTGTTATCTGACTTCATAATACAGATAAAAGATATCTGTGTTTTCAGAAATAGAAATATGAATGTTGTACTCTTTTACACTTATAGATATGAGACTTATACACCTTGTCTGAGATGTTATTGTGAAAATAAGTTATTTATATACTGTATTCTGCTTTCTGCATTCTCTCATGTTTCTCTCTCTCTTTCTAAGAAGTCTTGTGTGTGTTGTAATTATATGTACAACTCTAAGATCAGCAGATATTTATTCAGTAACTGTTCTCATCTCTGATTTTATGATTTTTATATACTAATAATGATTCTTAGTTGCTCTGATGTCAGAGATCATTCTAATCAAAGATAATAATACTGCTGAGACTATTCTCTCTCACTCTTAAGCTTCTTCTATTACTTTCTCTTCCTTCTCTGTGAGAAAGATTGTGTGCACACTGAGTTATAAGTATTCAGTCTCAGATAACTCTTACTGTTATTTATTCAGTTCTGTATCTTCTTCTTCTTCTATTTCTTTCATCTTCATTCTCTCTATTCTGATATCTGATTCTGTGAGTCTCATACTCTTCTTCAATTTTTCTACATATACACATACACATTTCTATATTGATATTCCAGTCAATCTTGTGATAAATGACATTAATATTTTACACAGAGTAGTAGAGAAATCAGAGATATGCATGATATTATTATAAGAGTAGCTTATAACTCTCAAATCTCTTACAGATCTTGAGTTTTGAGATTTTCTTTGTTTTTGATGTTTTTCAGATGACATGGTGTTGAAAATAGATTAACATATAACATATGAAAATGAATGAGATGTGTATGATAATATTTATCTTTTATAACTGACTCTTACAGTTGATAATCAATTTATTATCTCTTTTCTTTTCTTACACTTTCTTTGTCTGCTAGTCACTACTCTTACACAATCTCTATATAATACAGTATTCAGTGACTAGGTTCAGTAGCTTTCATCTTTTATAATTCTGTCTCATGTATTATACTGTCTCTCTTCACTCACTTAGATTACTATAGTGAATAGTTCATTGAAACTAACCTCATCTGATCTCTGAGCATTCTCAGAGATTGAGATGACTTAGTCTTATATATCTGTAAATGTTTCAGATAGTTCATTCTCTGTAATCTCTATAATTAAACTGATATAAACAGTTAAATTCAACTCTGAATTTCTTTTTCTTCTGTGATCTGACTTATATATAAGTCTGCTGCTTTGAGACTGCTCTTTATTATATTACATCTGCTATCTGCAGTGTGTTATCATATAATTAGCTACAGTCTCATTACTTATTAAAGTGTGATATTTATCTGATTTCTTCATTTCTTCTCATTCATTTCTTATAATTATGAAAAGATTGAAATAAGTGAGATTATCTGATTTATAAGTGTCTATGATTTAGACTGACTGTGTGACCGTGTCTGAGACCAGAATCAAACTTTACAGTTGTCATGTTGCTTAAAAGCATTACTTCTGATCATGATTTGTGTTCATCACATTGATCTTAAATCCTGTTATTTCAAATATTAAAGATCTCAGATTCACTTTTCAAATAAAAATCTAGTCTCAGATAAAGAATATATTTGAATTCTTAGTCACATTTTCATTCTGATCTCATTATTGAAAATGACATCAAATAGAATCATGAAATCATTTCTCACTTATATAATATCATAACATAGTGCTCATTTGTTGAAAATTGAACAGAGAGTATTACTAAATATCATTACTTTTCTGAATATAAATTATAATCAATATCATTTTAATTAAAAAAAAATGTAAAATACAAAAAATAATAAAAAAACAAAAAATAAAATAATAAGAAAAAATCACAACAAAAAAAAAAAAAAAAGAGAAAGAAAAAGACAGAAAGAGAAAGAAAAATAAAAATAAAAAAAAAGAAAAAGAAAAAAACAAAAAATAAAAATAAAAAAAAATCAAGATTGCAGAGCTGTAGTATCTTCAAAATATTCACTTCTCAGAGTCTTCACAATGTTCATCATCAACTGTGTATCTCTTACAGTAAGAGTAACATGACTGTATTGAGTCATTGTCTTAATATCATCTAATAAATAATCAGTATATATCTATATAAATGTGAATAATTAGAAAATATACACTTAAAAAGTGTGATCAGAGTGAACTCTGCTGTCACTTGAATAATATCAAGAACAGAACACTGAAATTGATGATTCTTCTCATTGATTTCACAGACAAGGCATGTGAAGATAATCTTGAGAAATATAAGATTCTCTGACTTCTGATAGAAATGAATCTCACAGAGAGACTCTATTTTCATTATATCAGAGACTGAGTGTTATTAAAAAGTATTACTTTAATGCATATGCACTTACTGCAGTGATTTACTCTCTGCACATGTGACTGAGAGTTGCAGCTTTCTCATGCCACACAGCTCTCTCTGAGATGCTGTCACTAGTTTGCAATTCATGCAGTCTCTCAGTCCAGCACATACTGTGTATATACAGCCCTGTGTGCTGGGGCTGTGTTGGTCATTATGGCCTGGTATGATACTC